AAGTATCTTTAGAAGTATCTGGGCCTCGGAGAGAAGGCGAAGGTAAGGGGACTGTGAAAAACTGCACGACACTTATCCTAGAACCTCTATAGCAGGCATGGGTAACCTTTCCTAGTTCGGGGGCCAAATTATCATTCTGTCTCCGAGTCAAGGGCCGGACCAAATTATTAAATAAAATAAATTAATATTAACTAAATTAAAACAAGTTGCTTCTTCATATTTCATTATTTTCTTCCACCATGAATCAGACAAACTTCGCTGAAATAGATTAGGGCCGGATCCGGCCCGTGGGCCGGGGGTTGCCCATATGTGCTTTACAGCAAGAGGAAGGAAATGAAATCTGACAAATAATTTTTAATTCAATCACATAACCTACCAAATATCTTACTATAATGTAGTAAGATATTTTTAAGAATTATTATGATGCGTTCCTAAAAATTTATTAAACGTTTCATTCCATATCACGCACAGTTGTATATGGAAAATCGAACAACCGTTACACGTTTATTTAGTAGAGTTTCAATATTCTATGTTAATATGTTTCATATTTCACAATCACAATTTGCAGCAAGATAAAGAGTATATAACAGTTTGAATTCCATTTTGTACAATTTATATTATGCACGAAATAAAGATTTCGGTTTCTAATTAGGACACCACCTATATTTTCCATTATCGTAATTTACATTACTGACATAATGCAGTGCTATCAATAATAGCTATGTACATACATACAATTAAAACACAAAAGGAAATTAAGTTGCTTATTGTGTACAACTGAAAAACAATTATGTACAAATATTCTTATTACTTATTACTATCACAGTTATACAGAACATTTGTATCATTGAAATGAGAATTCTGTAACATTATGTTACATCGTATTATTACAAAAGCAGGAGATAATGAGTTTGCTAGATGGCAATGATAATATCATAATAACTCTTAGCATGCTGATATTATACAAGCATTGAAGAAAATTATTTAGCACAACTACAAAACTATTTTGAGAAATGCTAATAAATTTTTGAAATTTAAAATTTTCTGTTACTATTCCTTTCTTAAAGTATTTTCCTTTAAATACTTAGCCACAATTATTATACTTTAACAAATTAGGAGTGCCAAAAAAATATTAATTTGATACAAATGCAATGGAATATTAATAATTTTCGCAAGCAGCATTTGCAATAAATTGAAAATAAACAAATCGCGTAGTCTATAACAAATATACAGTATTTTTGAGAGAAAAGAATTAATCTTATTATATGTTTTTAATTAACATACAATATTTTGATAAATATTGTATTAAAATAATTTCTAATTTCATAGTTCAGTGTTCCAATTTTGGGACTGTAACTATAAAAGCAAAAGATGCTTGTATTGAAATACAGGGTTTAAATGCATGATAAAATAGAAACGAAGGGGTAAAATTAATTATCAACATTACACAGTTTTCGCTGCTGATACTTGTAATTCTTATGATTTCACAGTATCTTTGTGTCAATGTAATGGAAATGCTCATATACAAATGTGTTTACTAATTACAAGTATTTTTGGTTCAAAATACATTGTCACACGTCGTACGATTTAAATAAATATAAATTATAGAATTTCTATCAATTTCTATAAATTATGTAATTAAACTTTTGCATAACTCGCAATTTGCAAGCATGAGAAAGTTATATAAAGGAGGGTAGTTTAGTATTTAATTAAGTCTTAATTAACTACCTTTGCATGTTTATTATTTTCTATAATTTATCAACCACTCTTTTCTTCTCTCTTAATAACAAATTTTCTCTAAACTTATTAAATACTGATACGACTTCTTAACAATTTAATAATTAATAACAATTTAACATGTAGTCCTTACGACTAGGTCAGTAACTGAATTCTTCACACTTTGCGAAACGGAAATAGTAGTATAATACAATACACAATATAAATTAAAGTAGATATTAATATTAAGAACAAGTTTACGTAATGTAAACGTGGAGGATGTACATATCTATACATTATATTAACGTGTGATAAATGTGATGGGTACGAAATATTCAATAAACAAGTTCATATTGTACGAAACTCTTAACACTTTGAGTTATGAGATTTTACACTTTCTCTGGCGTGTTCAGTAATTTTTAGTATTTAATCATGTTAAGTGTAAAAATGAATTTTTTTCGACTGGATTCACATAATTGATTCAAAGCCACCGAGTTTCCATCCCGATGGTATTCGCAAGATGCCAGAAAAATGGCAAAAGGTCATTAACAATAACGGAAATTTTCTCGACGATTGGTTTTCTCATTCTTTTTAAATAAAATTTTTATTGTGTCCAAAAATCGGAAAAAATTAATTTCTACACCTAACAATTATAAAATATTAAACGCATTAAACTCTTATTTTGGCAACTGAAGGCCATTCTGTCTTCTTTAGCTAAAATGTCCTATCAACCAATTTTTCATTTTTCAGGATGCTTTGAAATATTTTTAAAGCTCCACATGTTTTTCACCTTTTCGAGCACAGTTAGAATATCCTCTGTGCTTTGTAGAGCTCTAGAAACAATCCAATTTATTTGTCTTCACCGTTTTACAGACACTTTCATTACTTTTAACCGTAGTTTTCGCGGATGTTCAGAAATGTTATTTAGGACAATTAAACTGAGGAGAACAGCATGGAAGATGAATAAAAGCACAAGTACAGCTAAAACGGGAGAACAATGGTAAATATGATAGTTAATAATGAAGTTTTCAGAGAAAAAGGATAAATAAGTTGTCTCTTTGTATTTCGAAAAGTAAGCACTGTTTTTACTTGTTGGAATGACTAAATACGGACGCATACCCAGAGAATGAACCAAGAAACTGGAACTCTGTTCAATTTTACGTTGAGTAAGCTTACAAGGCGGTTACAAGAAAAGTAAATAAAAAATATACTTACACGAAAATTATTACAGGATAATACATTTAAAAACTCCCTGGATCTAATAATCAATTTATTTTGATTTGTCAGTTTAGATGAAACGATGCACAATTGCAATCTTTTAAAATTAAGAAATTTTTTACGAAAGTCGACTCGTATTACTCATATAAATGTTATTAATTATGAAATGGGTTGTGCCTTAATATGATATACCTAAGTATACTGCCGTTCACAAATATTAGGACATCTATTATGTCCGTACAGAAAAATATTATATGATTTAAATTACATATTTGTTCGCTAAAATTAGTATAATATATTAGTAAAAGTATACAAGATATTCACGCCATTACTTTCTAGCATTTTTCTCGTTAATAGTAGATTTGTGAAGCAAATAGTAGAGGACAAAGTTTCATTATTTTTTATACCAGACACGATGGCTCGAATAGATTTTTTAAATTTGCAATGATTTTTAGCGTAATGATGACACCATAAATTGTTTTAAATTGATAGCCGTAATTTTCTTTTATATTGTATGAAAACGGTTGCCGAGACAAGTTCAACGACTTACAACAAGCTCATTTTCAAATTCAATTTCGCGTGAGTGTTTGGTGTGACATAATCAATAACATACTATTAGGATTTTATTTTTCTGAAGGCACTTTAAATAAAAATAGCTATTTTGAAATTGTTTCAGCATTTTAATAATTTTGTAATGACTGCAGAATTTCTTCGTTACTTATGAACGGGAGTGTACACTGCGTACCCGTGATTACAATCTGACTGACAATGAGCTCTTGTGGAATGAACTGGACAGGAATACAAACAAACTGCTCAGAATCTAAAATGGGTCTGTAGAATTATTTATATGAAGCTTGGAGCAGTATTAAATCGGAAACAATGGAAAAATTAAGTGCCAGAATGACGAAGTTATGTGAAACGTTGAAAAAACATTTTCCTAAATTTGAATTAATTTTCTAAAAAATAGATACGAAATAATTATAACTTTTACTTTTAATTATAATTAAGTACAGTTTCGTTACTATGGCGAAATAATATTTTCAGTAAAACATTCATTTATTTGTTTTAAAATCATAACATGCTCCAAACTTTTGAGCGGTAATATACAGAATAATACTCTTACATTTAATAATGATGTGTTTGCGACTCATATATCAAACAATTGTTCGGACGAGCCGAGCGAAGGAATTCTTTAAAACTATCCATAACATTTATTAAATTTTATAAATGCGCAGCAACTGAGTTTGTTGGTCCATTGAAATGATTTTATGAGGCAGAACTTTGGCAGAAATGGTAAAAAGTGAGTGCGAAATATTTCAACAAAATGCTCAGAATTAAGATTGGTGCAAAACAAATCAATTTTTTTCGTAAATGATGACAATCTTACAAATTAAAATTATACACTAACATTTATTACAGGAAGCTATAAGAAAGTGAAAATTAAAGATTAAATTAGTAATATTTTTTTCTTATTTCAATTACTTTGCACGCTTCAACGGAAACAAATAATTGATATTGCAATTGATATTTCAGCTCATGAACAATAAAAGATAAATATGTAAAATATATTAGCAATCTGAGCGATATTCCGCTTTATCAATTTTTTCCACTAACAGTTTATTCTCAAAAAATAATTGCATCTTTTGTCGAGTTTCTGGAAGCATTCTTTCTACACGAATCTCATCAAGACTCAAAGTGTTAAGAAGGATACAACAAGGTGTAGTAAAGTACTTAAAGTACCTACGAAATACAAAAATAATTCAATTATTGTGAAAAGATATGTCTTACTGTATTAAATGATAAAATTGGTATATTATGATTGTTAGAAAAATCATCGTCTTGTATCATCAGTCATAGAGGACATTGAAATTGTCCACGCAGAATGATCTCGATGAGCAACACTGTGAATTGGTCTTCGCAACACACTTTTCGCTATTAGGCAAAGGAACCCTGTTGGTAGATGGACGCCAAGATACTTTTAAGAAAAAATTGTCCTGCTCGTTACCGGAATGAGGCAACGGAACGTTTGGTCTCCGATTTTCACTGTAGAACGCGTTCTACTTGTACTAGACTTGGTCTTCCTCCTCCAGGAGCCGTACTACCTCTGAAAATAGAGTTTTTGTGTGATCCTGACAAGTAGTCGCATTTCTTAAATGTAATTTCAGCATAATCTAATTGATTTGCGTTACGTAGCCGGGGAAAAGTTTCAACTTTCACATAAGTTAGTATTGGGAGAAAGAAAAGATAATTTTATTTGACAGGAATGAGTAATGTGACTTCCATCTATTGGAATAACTTCTGTGTGTTGGAAAAATTTCTTGGTGAAAAGAAATTCTTGTCAAACGAGGTAGTTAAGGAAGCAGTTAAAGAATACTTCACAGGTCTTGACGAACCGGAGTTTCCTGATGATATAATGACTTTGGAACGTCGTTGATCCAAGTGCAGCCATATTAAAGGGGATTACTATACGGTAGAACTCCATTTACATGAATTCCGTTTATCCGAACTGATGCCATCACTATACCCGATTCAGTAACTATGTACAGTGACTCTCACTAATATTCGGACACTATTTAGAACAGGCATGGGCAACCTTTTTTGGTTCTGGGGCCAAATTATTATTCTCTCTCCGAGTCAAGGGACAAACTAAATGGGTTTTCGCGTGTGTTTTTATGTATAAATATATTAATATCTTCAATGTAATGTTGTATGTGATTATGCGTTTGATACAACTTTGGCTAAATATTAAATAAAAGGGACTAGTATATTAAATAAAATTATAAAATTAAACACGATACTAATCAGTACCTAGAAGAACGACGGATCGCGGGCCAAACTAAAAGAAATCGCGGGCCGTGAATTATCCATAGGTGATTTAGAACATTATAACTTTTTTAAAATCGGACCAAATTACTTGAGTCTTTTTGAGAAGTTAGCAGAGTTAGTATATTAGATGACGTGCGCAAAAAATTTGGAAAAATTGCAATTTGTGGGAATCGCGAAGGAAATTGTAAATTTTTTTTATACAACCTTATCTGAAATTGTAATGAAAATTTAAAATATACGTTTTGTAGATTATGTCAATTATATACATGCTGAATATTCATTATAATAGGTTAATGGAGAAACAGGTGACAGGCATCGAAATATGTAAGAATCTTCACATTTATTACAGTTGGATGCCGAAATTGGTGAAATAGTGCGATTTTCACAATTTTTAACCGTTTGCAGCTCACAGCAACGTTAATCGATTTCGATGAAATTTTCAACATACATATAATTGACATAAATCTACAAAACGTATTTTTTAAATTTTCATTCAGATAAAAAAGTTGTTTAATGTGACCTTTACAAAACTGCAATATTTCAAAATTTTTTGTACACGTCATCTAGTATACTAATTCTTCGAACTTCTAAAAAGAACTCAAGTCGTTAGGTCCAATTTAAAAAAAGGTATACTGTTCTAAAGAGTGTTCGAATATTAGTGAGAGACACTCTACCTGAACTCCTATTATCCGACTAAAGACCACGCGACGCTACTTACCGCTTATACGATTTAAAGTTTTTGCCTTAGTATTTAATTTAATTTTAACTTATCGGATGTAAAGCAAAATCCAGTTACCAGAAAAGCAATCCCGATTATGCGAACGAAGAAACAGCGACGGAAGGGAGAACTAGCGGATTCCTATTAGTGTCGGATAAACGGAGTTTTATTGCATAGCAAAATAAAAATAATGGGAGTTGATTAGAGATCGTAGTTTTGAACGTGTATTAAAAACACACGTGTAATGTGTATTAGGGAATTAAAAATTCGTGCTCTTTTTATAATAAATCTGCTATTTTAGTGCCCACGTATTTAGAGATTTTTATTTCACGTGTATTTAAATGCGTGTCCGTATTTTAATTCCTGTAATTTTGAATATAACACGTAGATACCCGGGAATTCAAGCTTATTTATCCAAGTAATTTGCCGAAATAAAATATGGCTTTAAAAATTGCCAGGTTGCAGATAACAGTAACAAATTCCGATATGATACAACGGGAACAGAGATAAATAAGAAGATATATACACGTGAAAAGAGATCTCTAAATATACGGGTACCCGTGTACTAAAAATTACACAAATTAAAATACGTTAATACATGTGTACACATGTAAATACATCTGAATGTAAATACAACTGAAGTAAGGACTTCTAAAATTGATTGGTTATTTGTCTAAACTAAAAATTCAATTATGTGATAAGGTAATAGGAATTAAATGCCTACCTTAATATTATGTCATCCGGAAAATTTCCTCTGTTTTAAAACGTTCACTTTGAAAAAACATAACTCCATTGTAACTGAATATTTTTAGTTAAAATAATTTCCATAATGTTTGATACACTTTTACCATTGTATTATAAAAGCACGCAAAAATCCAAATATTTAAGAGAAAGAAACTGCTGAATCATCATTCTCGCAGTTTGGTGGTCTGCTACACTTTCCTAAGACATTGTACCATTCTCACTGCACAAGTCATACAGTAACGAATTGGAGGTCGTCCACCAAAAAATTGAAAGTATAGCAATCAGTCCTAGTCAACAAAAAAGGCCCTGTCCTTTCCCACGACCAAGCTAGATCGCACCTAGCAAGCGCAACTGTACAAAAATTCCATCAACTGGAAATTGTAATTCTGCCTCATCCCCTGTATTCCTTTGATTTATCTCCAACCAATTTTCACTTTTTCCACTCACTTGACAATTTCCTTATACAAAAACGAGTTAGAAAACAAGAGGATATTGAAAACGCCTTTCAGCAGTTTCTTTTCCTGAGAAATTCGGATTTTTATGTACGCGGAATTAACGTTCTTGTAATTTTGGCAAAAATGGAAAAATGTGTCGAACATTATTTTAAATAAAAATGTTCAATTTTAATGGAGTTATTTTTTTTTCAAAATTAACAGCTTATAATCGCAGGAAACTTTCAGGATGACCTAATAATATTTGTGATAAGTGTGGTTAAATGTTTTCATGAGATATATATGGGTCATTTGAAATGTTTCTGGAATGAAGTAGAAATGGCAGTAGGAGTTCTGAAATTTTTAGTTTATCAAAGATTTCCATTTCTCATATGAATAGCTATAACGTAACAAATCATTCTTCTGCATTCTGTGCCGCATCTCCTAATAATAATAATTAATCATAAACGAATTCGAGTGCACGTCCCCACAGAAGTGTCTTTTTTTATGGTACACATCAAAGAATTAAAGTACGATATGAACCACTGAGAAGAGAAAATGACTAACTCCATCAAATCAAATTTATTAAATTTTTTTGATTTATGAAGAGATAAGCACCAAGCATGTGCTTTGATACTAAAATTGGAAGAATTTCAAAGAGTGGAGTTCATCTTTTGGTTTCTGAGTGGCTCATTCATAACTACATTGATCTTATTCGCCAGACTTAGCTCCCTCTCATTTCAGTCTATTCACACGGTTGGATAAGTTCCTTGGTGAAGAGAAATTCTTATCAAACGAGGAAGTTAAGGAAGCCATTGAAGAATATTTTGCAGGTCTAGACGAACCGGAAGTTTCGTGATGGTATAATGGCTTTGGAACATCATTGGTCCAAGTGCATTGATGTTAGAGGGGTAGCCATATACTTAAACTGTCTTTCCATTCTATTCTGAGAATTTTTCAAATGACCTACGTATATATATTTTATATCCACAATCTTTTAAGTTGCTTGGTTTTCAAGAATATAACAAAATTATTAAAAAAACACGTAGATACTTTTTTACATTTTATATAGGATGAGACACCTAAAACAGGCTACCTGAATATCTCGACTGTTATTGATGATAGAAAAAAATGTATCAGACCGAACTTATTTAGTGTCGAGAGGCACATAATTTGGTGTAAATAGTTTTTTGATAGATAGAGGCGTAGAGATCATATGAAGGCCAACTTCGTTTGTTTAAAAGGAATATATTTTGTTTTATATACGACCTAGTAGAGCGTTTTAAGACGTGTACAATGATTTATGGTTCAAGATCATTCAAGATCACTGAAGATCAACTGCAGGGGAAAATAATTTACTTTACGTGAGCGATAGATAAACATAAATTATATTATATAATACTATATAAATAATGTGCCCCTCGACACCAAGCAAGTTTGGTCTGACACATTTTGTCTATCAGCAATAATAGTAGAGATAATTAGGTTAATTTAGTAAAAAACTAAATTTATTGATTAGTTATGTCTTATTATACAGTACAATTATAGAAGTAGCTATTTAATGAGTTTAGACATCTATTATAATTAAACCAATCTTTCTTCTCAATTATGAAATTACAATGGTAGTAAGACCATTGTAACAGTATGTAATATTTGTACAGACAAACACAAAGTTTTCAATGCATGTTTTTTTTTTTATCTTATACCTTGAAAAAATTGCAATACGTTTTACGGTAAATTTGAATTGTAAATGTGGAACTTTCAAAATAGGTATGTTGTATAAGTGTAATTTGCATAATAATAGTAACTTTTGATATCAAATGACGTTCGCTTTAATTTTATCCCCTTGGTGCATCCTCGAAAGTTACTGGACTAATGTTAATAACGTAGAAACTTTAAGGCAAGTTCTCACTACAAACACGTTGAGAATACCAACAGAGGATTACCGAAATTTTAGAATGTGGAACGGCAACGAACAATGGAAATTATCAGAAAGTATGCAGATAAACGTCTGCTGTACTATATGTACCCACGTCAGCTTTCTCCTATTGCAAATCAGTAATTCACAATAAATTATTCAATTTTTCTTATTGACTGATGTTCACGTGTATTTCACAACACTGTGTAAATAATTCAATATTGAAATCGAATGTATGTATGTATTAACACTAGAACGACCGGCCTAGTATGACGTATTAATAACTTTCTAAAAGTGCATTTCTGTGTAATTTAGAACGCGATTAAAAAGTTCGTCTTGGATTGCTAGGAATAAAAGTAACATGGAGAAAACAAAGTCAGAAAGTTACATTCGATAGTACTTATCAGGTCGAAAATTTACTTTTTTTTTAATGTATTGAACATTTCAAGTATTGGAATCAGACAGTCCATATTTTTATCAAACTAATTTGTTAATCAATTGACATATTTAATAAAATTTTTAGAGTTGACATGTATTCTTGGCATTTATTATATAATATTCAATGGATAAAAGCATAAATATACGTTACTAAAGTTCTTTTATCACGTGGTATTTAAAAGATACTATTTTTTGAACATAAACACCAGTGGATTTATTTTTAAAAATATCCATTTTCAATATTTCAAAATTCGTCTTTTCATGGGCTGCAATACACTACTAATGAAAATATGCAGTGCTATTTAAAAAGCTCAATGTCGTCCCAGCCAGTTGAAGGCATAAATAACTCAAAATGCATTCGATAATTATGCAGAAAGGATACTCTTCACGAATTTCAATGACTTTGAAATATGTTGTCAAAGTCATAATTTTGAACAACTTTTTCCTATACATGTTACCGCTTCTCGGTCTTAGTTTCAGAGATATTCTCAAGAAACTTTCTGGCATAGGCCTAACGGCGACCGCTGTTCCTGTATAACGGAACCTAAATCTTACTCATGATGATAATGATACTAAATAATGCTACCTAATCTATACTAAAGCTATCACTACTGAAACAGCTCACCTTTTGCACATTCGATAAATTAGAATGATACAAGTCAATTCTGTGCATTTGTTCACGTTGTGACATGTAAGTAGGTTCTGAAGTACTCTAGAATATTAGTAGAGGAGAAGGTCTAAATATGGGCTACCACTTTTATTTCAGGATTTATTATCAAACCTGTGGATGATTTTTAAGATATAACACTTAAATATACAAGGTGTTTCCGAACTGGTGATACAAGCGGTAAGGGGGTGACTACATGCAAAAATGAGTAAAAAAAAAGGATAACATTTTTTCGTATCGGGTTTTGTTTCCGAATAAATTAACTTTGAAGATCTACCGAGTACACGTACACTTATACATGATCTAACGTCTACGGTATACAAATATCACTGTGTTGCACTTCTGTTGTTCTTCTGTCAGGATGACAGCGATTTAGATGTCGTTCTTTGTATTAATTAGTAAAATAACTTACCGGCACAAGTACCCAACGCGAGAATTATATCGGTGTACCCACTCTCGATTACTGTATGTTGCCATATCGATAGAACGACCAAGACTGAAAGTCTGACACAGAAATGTTAATAAGCCACGACATTGGTGATGTTTATAAATCCAAACGTAACATAGACTGGCCTACAGAAGATTTGCTAAATCTTCAACACTGATTTATTCGGAAACGAAGCCCGATACGAAAAAATGTTATTCTTTTTTCACTTATTTTTGCATGTAGAGTCACCCCCTTGCTGCTTGTACCACCAGTTCGAAAACACCCTGTATATCAGTAACATGTTTACTATATGATATGAAATAAAAATAAGCTGAACAAAAGCAATGTATGTTGCAAATTATATATTTCAAATAAAAGGGATAATCTTCATTTTTAGAAAAGTGATCTAAATATGGGCCACTCGTATAATAATCGAAATGAAAAGTAAGAGCTGCATATTTTCAGGTTGAAATATTAGGTTGAAGTATAAGGTTTATCTACATATAAAAATGTAAACTTAAACTTAAATGATATTTATAATATTTACAATCTATCTGCAATAGTCAGAAACGTATATATCTTTCTCAAGATTTTATATATCTTTTTTTTGTCTTTCTTTTTCATATTTTGGTATTTTTCTTATTACATTCCTCGTAGTCACTGAATTCTAAAATTGGCTAGCCCATATCATAAAGCTACTAAATTTGTAGTCCATATTTAGATCATTTGATCAGGATAGCTTAGAACAATGGTATTCATTACTACGCGATGATATTCATTACAAAACTTATACTAAAAAGAAACTTACAATGTCAGCAATATAGTACTCTTAGTTAATTAGCTCTTAGTTTAATAGATTGTTGCTGAAAAAATAAAACGAACTTGCCTGAAAAATGTTTTGAAATAGCGAAAGAAGAGAAATGACACATTTTGCAACACAACACATAAACAAAATAAATGCAGGTCACTATCTCCTCCGCAACATTTATTTTGTTCATAATTCGAAGTTTCATCCTATTTTCAATAGGGTCAAGCATTTAACATATTCAATACTTCAACTAGCCCATATTTAGACCTTCTCCTCTAATTATTCGCCGTTATTCTGACGTTAGAATATCTCTAAAGCCGAGCGGCGGTAACATGTAGATATAGGAAAAAGTTGTTTAGTATCATTCCCCCTACAATATATTTCAAAGCCTTTGAAATCGGTGAGGAGTTTCCTTTTCTGCATAATTACCATGCATTCATTCAACGAACTCAACTGAATACAGTGTATTTCATAAATAACATTTCTTTTTATCAAAGTGATAGGTAACGAGTTATTTCAGATAGCAATTCTTATTGACTCACCCGGTATACCGTGAACTGTGTGGAAAGTGAGTTACGGTGTGAACCCTAAACGAAATAATTTCCGCTAATCACCGAAATTAATTTAGCGTGTGGCAACGTATGTATATTCCAGTACGTCGCGTCGTACGTAATTTTTTCATTTTATTTACGTTCCGTATCACTGAACTTTTAATACACACACATTTGTTTCCGTATTTGTAATTTGTTTGTACGTTTTGCTTTGTTTAATTTCTTTGTGACTTGATTCTCTGTAAAAATGGGGTGAAGTAAACGCGATCCAGCTGAAAAGGTACAAACATCCATGAATTTTTCTGTTTGTGCGAGAAAATTGAATTACAATACCAGATCTAGCGACGAGGGAAGCTTTTCCAAGGTAAATTGTTGATTCGTTCCCGCTCAGTTCACTGTTGTTCCCAACTTGCGCAGTGTTCCTTGTAGATGTCATAGCAATATCGCTGTTCCTACATCCTATTCTGAAATTTAAATAGAAATTTTCATGTCAAAGAGAACACCAATAATTTCACTCGCGTATGAACATGTACTTTTCCGCGATACAATAACATCACACCTTCCACCCTGTTCTCAGTAGCCTTTGAAACTATGTATTCGTACAGCGTGCTCAAAACTTTCTAAAACAGCGCCAGTTTGTTTTTCCGTATCGGTGATCCCGATTGCTTGAAAACACAAAGCTCGACGAAGAATTAAAAGAGCATTTTATTAATGTACCCGTAAACAACATTTACTGCCAGAGTTAATTAATAACTACTTGCTTTTACGTTCGTATTTTTAAAATAAATCTACGGCGAGCAACGAAGAATGAATACCGTTGGAGGAGCTGTTAATTAGCTGTTTCTGGCATGAAAATTTAATTAATAAGTAGGAATTATTAAGCAAGAAAGTACGAATAGCTTGATTCTTTTGGTTGTCATGTTTAAAAGGAATACTAGAGTATCTTCATTTTTTCAAACGTTGCCAACACTTGTCGGCGTGGATGTACATAGTTCAGATCGTCTATTATACAGGGTGTCCCAGGTTTTTCCTAAAAAACTGCGATGGTTTATTTTTTGGATAAAAATAAGAAAAAAATTATATATAAAGTTCTGCAATAAACGTTTTGTGATAAAGTTATATGCATATAAAGCAGCATAGACGAAAAGTCAATTGTGTTTATCTTGCCTGCGTAGTCACATATTTAGCGTGCATTATCTGGTAACGATTCCGTGTCATTAATAGTTAATATTCTTGCTAGTATGTAGTCTTAAGTTATCAGATAAACTAGCATCTTGTGTCAAAATTCCAAAAGTGTTTTCAGTACTAAGTAATTGTTTGTAATGATATTAACTATTAATGACACCAAATGGTTAGCAGATAATAAACAATATGTGACTACGCAGATAAGATAAACACAGTCGACCTTCCATATGCTGTAATGGAAAATACGTTATTATACAGGGTGGGCCACAAAGAACAGGATACCTAATTATCTTCTTTAGATATGGTGGTACGAGAAAAATTTGATGCATAATTATAAATGCCATTTCTTTTTGTTTTTTTCAAGATAACCTACGTTTTTTTTTTTATATGAGTGTATATATTTTTTTCTAATGTGTCTATTGTATATTGTTATAGCTAGAAAAGATAATTAGGTGGCCTGTTTTATATGAGCCACCTTGTATAATATTTCTTTAAAATTTTTATCTAAGGAATAAGTCACCACAGTTTGTCAGGAGAAATCTGGAGCACCCTGTATAATATGTAGATGATCTAATCTGCACCCATTCTGTTCTTAATCTTCGTCGACAAACTCTGACTACTGTTTCCAACCTCTATTATTGCTCCTTAAATAATCAAATGAAGAGAAAAGAGGTTAAATGCTATACGGAATGAAATAATACATTATTTATTTGCTTTATACTAGAGATGAAGATAAAAGGACTGCTTTGTAAGACGCTTGGCTTTCGAAACGAAACTAGAACAACAAGTTAATTTTGATTACCTCCAACAACGATGACAGTTGAAGAGGCTAAGAAACGCCTGTCGAAACTTTCTGTTCATGAAACAGTACGTGATAGGATTGCAGCAACTAGAAATGTAGGCGAGCAACTGTATCAGGCTAATACCCGTGCTTCCGATCATGGAGTACACCAATTCTGGTGCAAAAAGATACCACGTATTGATCACATGCAGCGGTGCCCAACAAACGAAAAATTCCAGCACAATTACAAACAGCATCCTGATCACCTGAAATCCATACATATCGAGCATTTCATCAAACGAGCTTAAACTGTGTTTGGAAATTACTCAAGCTACTGCAACGAATGCTCTACATACAATGAAGTCTCGGTTATCCGAGATCCGTTTCGATAATGTAACATTGTACAGGTATTTAAGTTTAATTAACTATTTATTAAATGGTGTTTTCTCTTTATGAAATAGTTAATTAAATTTAAATACTTGTAGAATATTATTATTATTTTTTTGATAAATAATTAATTAAACTTAAATACATGTACAATTTTACATTATCAAAATGTTTTTTATGATTTTATTGCGATTTATGAACACCCATCGACCCTTCCGTGTTATCAGAGTTTTCGGTTATCCGAGGTAGGCTTGGTCCACGTCACCTCGGATAATCCAAACTCCACTGCTCTTGGTATATTTGTAATTGTACGTGCACGAAAACAGAAAAATAGTGAAAATATAAAGGAAAAAGTTAAATCAAATTTTAATTTTTGAAGAAATTTAATAATATTTATTATCATAGTCTAATTGTGAAGTAGAACAAGAATATTCTATTATTACTGTTTAATATTTGTATTTTACTGAAGTCCCATATCGTATAGAATATTTCGTTGGAGGTAAACAATATTTCGATGGAGATAAATGTTTAGGTTCACAATATACTGCATATTTTCGATTTTCTGTGCAGCATTTAGAAACTAAAATTTGTAGACCTTCTACAACAAGGCGTCTTTTCATGATGTATCGAAGAAATTAATCAATGGACATTTGATTTATCATTTGTGTGCTTGTCGTGGTAGAAAGACGATAGATGTTATATTAGAAAAAATTGTTTAATCTGTTTTTCACATTCGTGAAGTGTAATAACTAAGATACAAGTTTTAAGGAATTTTATAATCTTCAATACTTGCTTCTATACATTAAACATTCAGAACTATTGATTTGCCTAATTACAAGAATATATGTACAGAGTGGGGCAGGATGCGTGGTGCAACCGGTGATTCTACTAAATCACAAATCTGATTTATCCGTATTTTGTGTTTGGGTATATGTACAGTACTTAATAGTTTATTATGACAAATCTATACAACGAACAAATAAAAGAATAAGTAATTACTTGAACGCGATACTCACGCGGCAGAAGCATGGCGAAGACTGAAACGCAAATCTGTAAAGGTAAAGGAACTAAAGAAACAAAAGGTAAACAAAGGAGAACGCTGTGGTCGATGCCACGTATATGTATACATATCTATGAATATCGATTGCCATTCGGTCAATAACTTATCGATCATCCATCGATATACATATAATTTATATACACAAATTTATGTGAAAATCGATAAATATTTTACAACAAAAAGGACCAACCAGTTATAATTTTTGGTATAGATATTATTCAAACAAGTGGTCTTTTTTCAAATCTGTTTGCGTTACCACATTTATCGTTCAGAAATCCAAATTTTGTGAATTTACACCTTTCCTCTATTTTTATATGTTTTAATTATTAATTTAAACGCCAATTTTGAGGGCGGATTTCACCCCTTTAATGTGGAGCATTGCCGATAAAAAAAACATACTTGAATTTTAAAAAAAACATACTAAAATTTCATCAAATTCGGTGATTATCATTTCCGGAGTTTCCCTTAAATTTAATTGAAAATTCAATTTATATATTCGCTACAAACTTTCGCTTCCGCTCACGCTTTTATGTTGATAAACAATGGTAATGTCACATTTTGCAAAGAAATAGTGTAAATTCTCTGCAGCTCGCAGCAAGAATTATACAAGCTTTCGAGCAATTAAGGCATCAGTCCACAACTCTGATTCGAAAAGTAAAAATTTTGATGTGTCAACATAGGACGTCACTTTCAACAGTTCATTCAGTAAACTGTACGCGGAAAGCAATAAAATCGTTACTAGTCAAGTGTGCGCGTACTCGATAGGTATTTAAACTCCACTCAAAAACGAAGCTTCAAATAAAAAATTTTTTTTTTATTTTGGGTTTGTTTTTACATGTAGAATCACATCCTGTCCGGTTGTACCACTCGTCCTAGCCCACTTTGTATACAGTGTGTCCCGTTTATCTGGAAACGTTCTTACAACAAGGATCGAGAGATTGAGAGATCTAAAGATCGAAAGATCCAGCAAGATCGACAGAATACGACAGCAAGTTCGAAGAGTAAATATAGCCGGAGCGAATTGCGAAGACAGGTTACACAATATTCTCCACCAATGACCACTCAACATCGATCTATGCGGAACAATCTACAGTTGTAGGAAGAAAATAAAAGTTTTTTTAAAAATACTAACTGCGCGAATTCATCCGCGACAACGTATAACTATTTATGTATAATCTAATGGAAAATTTTCCCGTATAAATAAATAAATAAACAAATAAATATTTCACAGACTGTTGAAGATAAGAAAAATTTGCTGTTATTAAATTTGTTTAATATTGAGGTAGACATTATATGGTGTAAATAGTTTTTTGTATATGAAATGGTAAACCTGATTTCAAGAACAGCTTAATTTTTTTTAAATAGGGTATTACACTTCTTTATTCGTAATATGGTAGCATTTATTAAGACGAGTACAAGTCATTAAATGTAGTAGAAGGTGATAAATAAAAAATCTCTTCTACAACTTCGTACACAAAAAAACTATTTACACCAGATAATGTCTCCCTCCATATCAAATAAATTTCAGGATAACAATTTTTTCCTATTTTCGACGGTCTGCGAGATATTTACGTTTCCAGTTAAACGAAATAGATTGTATATACATATAGATACAATTTCTCCTGGTAGAGTTAAAATCATTAGGTAATGCAATAGCCACGCACATGCGCACTAATGTAATGAACAATACATATTGTTAACACGTACGGTTATTAATTACAGATTACGTTGATGTATTGATCTCCAGTAACCAAATTCCGCGATTAGCCATCGTGTTAGATTGATCGAGTTAATTGTTTGAAAGTGTGCAGCTAATGCTTCTTTAACGCGGTCGTAGAGCTTCCGTGAAAGTGAACAAAATTTGATATACTATGTACGAATTCATTAAATTATATAGCTTGCAGTTATATATAGGTATGTGCGTATAATATATAGACAATAATGTTGTTAGTACTTTTTACCTCTTAAACTATGAGAATTAGAAAATTATTGAAAGGTCTATATAAAAATATAAACAGAAATTTGTAGATTTTTTGTGCTGTTTAATGAAAAGTTTCTATTCAAAGTACAACGTCATAAATGAAAACGCATTTATTTGAAAGATATTTATTTGTTATAATAAATTGTTTTCATTTACGTTACTGTTCCTTTACTAGAAATTGTACATAATTTTATACTCAGAAAAAATTACAAGGATAATCAAAATATTCGCAAGAAAGTGAGAAATATGAAATGAGAAATATGAAAAGAATAGCAAGAACTTTAATCATATTTAATATTACATCAAAGTATTTGTAAATTGTCTCGAATTTTCTAGAACGAGTGAGTATCTGTTAGGCTATTAATTGACAGGTTGTAAAAAAATGTGTTACTGCTTTCACAGAATTTGAAAATCAAAGTCAAGGTTAATTTCGGACAAAGTTTTTCCAACAGATCTGTCGATCTGAAGATCGGTAAAATCAGATATGAAAACCATGACACATTTTTTTTACACGTTGTACAATAGATGTCTCATATTGAATACGCATCCATCAATCTATCATTTTCTAATTTCCCGAACGTTTACTTACCTTTTTTTTCGCTTCGATACTTTTGCCCATATAATTGCTACGTATTACGTGTTGTCTGTTGAATGGACATCCCGAATCCTGTTGATCTACGTTGATAGAAACCTTTGTATGTTTCGACAGGCAACTGCTTCCATTGCTGCGAACCTGCAGCCTTGACTCATGAGAAAAATCCGGTGCTTGACATTTCCCAGCGAGGGCTTTGGAGGTTCTCGTACGCGGTACACGTACCTTTTGAGGAAAAAAAAAATCGATGATCTCGTTAGCTTTTGCAAATGGCAACATATCAAAGGAGTGTATAATTTAATAGTCTTTGATATGCAATAATATGCGAAGTTATGCCGAAACGAACTTCCATAATCCCATGAGGCTATCAGTTAGAGACTTTCAGCGTCGTTAACACTTCCAATTCTATTAGGTTCAATTAGTTCGGCAAGTTTTACTCTGTGAATCTCAGATTATCAATGATTTTTTTCTATCGTTCTTTTTGATCTTATTTACTGAATAGGTACTCATTTGTACATTTGGCACAACGCAATTATTCTAATGGTCATTGCTTTTTCAGCGAATGGTGCCTAATCGTTTCCACACAATTTGAACAATTTTATGATTGTTCATTTGCATATTTTTGTTCGTTGTTACGTAAAATTTTAGATATGAAAATTGAAGAATGTTTATATGAGGAAAATTATTGGTACATCTGTAGGAAAATTATAATTATGTACTATCATTTCCTTCGAGAAATATAAGTATAAGTGTAAAAGATTCTGTACTTTAGTTTTCAGTACTTTGCTTTATTTACTTCGCTGATTTTATCGTTTCATTTCCTTGTTTTGAACTAAATAGTCTCACAAAGAACAAGTTGCAGCGCTCTTCAAACAACGACGATGTGCTTTTAGTCCCCTGTATATGTGAGAATTAGATTTATTCGCATTAGATAATAAGTTACCTGACGAAAATTGAACTTGCTACAAGAATTTGAATCTTGCTAAAAGAATTTGCTACATGTGCATACAATTTTAATTACAAATAATATAAAAACTTAGATTAGGTCAGTAGGTGTACTAGTACCTACCACTTTGCAATATTGAAATTCAAATATCTCCTAAACTAATGATTGTTTGACATAAATAATTTAATACCTTTCTATAGGGAATGATGAATTGCATCGAATACTGCATAAAAAAAAAAGAAACGTAAGTGATCTTCGCCTCCACTTACAATTAGTGTCATCCTGCCTGAATTTTACGATGTCTCCTCGATTTCTTATAAACCTCTAAAAGCATTTTCTTCTACCCAGCGTGCTTCTTTAAATATTTGTAAGAGTAGATTAAAATTGGATACCCTGTATATTAAAAAATAACTTAACTTTTAGTATGTTCACCATTAACACGTTGAATGCCTAGATTAGCAAAAGCATTTAATTTGAATAAATGGCTAATATTTGTAAAATTTTCATCTAATGCGTTACACAGCATATTTAAATAGTTTTATTTCTAACTGTTGATATATTATTTATGCATGTTGCGATGTGTTGTATTAAAATAAAAAATTCATTTCGGCGCCATGGACAAGTTATATGGAATTGGTGCGGCATTCAACGTGTTAAAATAGAACACAGTTTCAATTTTATATGGTATGCAAATTAATTCGCTGCTTTTTTTCACAAATATCATTGTTTATTTATGAAAATTCAACACAATTTTAATGCTCAAATTAATCTTCATTACTTTGGACATTTATCCGTTTATCGGGCAACTAACGAATTCCCTTTTTGAAACAAAAAAGTCGTCGATTATACTTCGATAAAATCGTCAAGACTTTGTCGAACTTCTTCCACCGCCTTGAAATGAGTATCAGCCAAATAATGTTCGAGCGACTGGAACCAGTGGTAATCCGAGAGGGTTAGGTCTGGCGAATATGCTGGATGAGGAAGAGTTTCCTAGCCCAAAGAATAAATGGATTACCACCTGTTCCGGTCGCTCCAACCTCACCTGGCTGATACTCGTTTCAAGACTGTGGAAGAAGTCCAAATAAGTCTGGACGATTTCATCCAAGTATTATCGACGTCTTTTTTTTAGAGAAGGAATTCGTTAGTTGCTCAATAAATGAAAAGAAGTCATCCAAAATAATTGAGATTATTTTAAACATTAATACTGTGTTTAATTTTTTGTAAATAAACATCGAAGTTTGTGAAAAAAAGGTATCGAATAAATTTGTATACGTAATATATAAAAAAAATTGAACTATTTATATGTAGATTTAAAATGTAAGGAAAGTCAAGAAATTCTGTTCTTCGATATTTCCACATTATCACGAATTTTAAACACAAAATGTTTTCCTTATAATTCTTGTCGATAATTTGTAATCTTCCTTTTGTGTTGAAGGAAAATGAAGGAACATATTAATTTCTTTATTAAGAAGTGGAGAAATATGTAACACGAATTAGATGAAAAATAACATAAAAGTGACATAATACAAGTCTTTTGACTGAAATATTTTGAAGTGTAACTATGAAAAGGAACATCAGTCAACTGATATACGCCGATCTTGATTAAATTTTGCATGCAGCTGAAGCAGAGAATATTCCAGTCGTACTTTATCTATCGGTGGGCATTTATATTTGGGGAGTGAAATCATCCTTCAAAGTCTGTAAAGTATAACTCGAATTCAAATAGAAATATAAAAAGATTCTAAATACGAAAATTATTCGGTTTTTCTTTTATACATTAGAATTCTCTACAGAATCCTTTTATAAGGACAAACAATTTTTTGAACATAATAAATAGCGTCATTATATTATACAATACCTGAAAAAGAGACATTTTTGTTATTTCTTTTATGCAACATAGTCGTTCTTTACAAAATTTCGTTAATACAGTTTGCAAAATGAAATTCACAAAAACATACTCGTCCCAATTTTTCAATATGAATGCTGCGACTATCCGTGAAGCGACAGTGTCAATGAATTCATTGTGTTCTATTCCATTGTAGTTTCTATTGTGAAACCCTCAATAGTAAAAATTAGAATATTTTTTTACGAATATTTGATATCAGAATAACAGTGAACCGAAAATGTACCAAAAAGCAAAACTGAAACACATGAACGTCCCTTCCAGAGAAGAAAATTTTTTATGGAAAAGCAAAACTTTCAAACCTGTGATTTGTTCAAGATGTTGAAGCAGACTTCAATATGTGCTTAAATTATTATTCTTTAAAACGCTGCTTTATCTTTTGTGTTCCATTTCAACGTAACTAGGTTTACTCTCCTATCTAGACGAGCAAATATGTTCGTTGACTCCTACACTATTCGTGAAGCCGATTATTTAGCAAATAAGTTCTTTATTTGCAATACAGTTTTTTGATAACAGTAATACAATATAACTAAATTCTTAACGGTTAAATATGTGCAAGTCCAATGTTCTGAGGTTCAAAGTGTCGTGTAATAGTTTAGTACGAGAGTGTTCACAAGAATTCAGAGTTCGTCACGAGAGTTCTTTATCACAATTTTTAGTTCACAGTTCTATTTGTCATCTTTCAGTCCTTTTATACATTCTCGTCTGTCCAGTTGGGTCCCTTGACGGGGGTGAGTTTTGGGTGGGAGGTCAAGACTCCCAATGAAGTTGGGGCCTGGTCAACGCCCAACGCCAACCGCTCACCCTCAGGAAGGAGGTGTTCTATGAGGTACGCGTCACCTGGGCTTATGGGAAAAACCCAGGGTAACGGTACCGCTCGCTTGCTTGCATGTTGCCTCGGCTCGCGCGGGTTTATGATACGTCAATTGCTATTGAGATGCACGAAGCAACTCCAAATTCTCCGCTTTTATGCGTAAATATAATTTAATGCGTAGATAAAGTTACGCTGAGCTGTGACTGATACAAATGAATGCTTAGGCACGAGAATCTTTTACTAACTGTCTGTTCGCTTGGGCAGGACCTTTATAAAAATGCCTGCTTTCACTTCGACAACATAGCAAAAATCCTGTACGTCTCCACATTATTTCCTCCCAGTGATACGTAGGTACTATTTACTTGACGAAGTCTAACAAGGTGAGCGTCAGTTATAATCCTCACCGCTTTCAGCGAAATTTAGCGGATGTGATAGACCTATGTCTATAATATGCATATATACGCGTAATTTTAGCCGTATATATTCATACAATTTTGGCAAAAATCCGCGTAAAGTTCGGAAAAATCGCATAGTTAGATATATTCCAATAATGGAACTCTACATTGAATCCCGACGATGTTGTCGTCGACTAGAATGCCAGAGACAAAGGCTATCAGCGATACTTCGATAGCCAGAGACAAAGGCTACCAGCGATACTTCGATAGCCAGAAACCCTCGAAAGCCAAGGCTTGGAGAATTTATGCATTTTCGAATATCGCGTTCATGCTCGTATTACTATACTGGACCTGGGTGGCCCTCATTTGCACTGCTTGGAAATACCTGACTAACGTTCGAGAGCTATCTAGGCTACTTTGGTAAATTTATTCGTCTGCATTCTTTTCTCTGGGAACGGAAGATGGTCGTGGGGATGCGTTACAGACATAACAAACTGCACGATCAGGATACCGTTTACGATACTCAGCTATCGCGGTTTTGCTATTCCCGTTACAGAAACCGTATATAAATATCACATAAGCATATTTTGTATTTAAAACAAATCAAGTCTAAAACGTACACTGAACACCATGTACAAGCTTTGTCTTTATCATTGGGAACCATTTATCCTTGCTCTTGAAACAGCATAAAAAACGTTTATCTTGGTAATAAAACAAAACGAACCTATAGTCTGTGGAGCAAATGTAGCGAGCTCGTAATATCGGCCAGGAGTGAAAGTAAACTTGTTCTGAGTGTTTTAACAAGGGAAATGACAGAAATATGGGAGGATGGGACCGAACCTCAGTCAGGGCCGTATTATGTATTCACAGTGCTTGCACAAGCTCTGTCGCCCTTCAAATTCTTCTATTGGTCTTCGTTTTCACCTGTATTATGATTCCATTTTTATTACTTTATCTACTGCTTTCTTCCAATGATTATCGTTGATTTTGTTTATTTCATTCTGTATCAGTTTCATGTTCTTAAAATTCGTCTAACCAATTGATCTACTTTGTCGTATAGCTTTACGATACGTTAGGCACAGAAAGAAACTTCCGTTAGTTATTAATTTTCATCTCTTTATTGTGTCTACAAGATACCAAAAAATTGCGATACGAAAGAAACTTCCG